GGTTGTATTCCCCAAAGGGAAGTTCTGTAATTAAACCAGATCTTATAACTTTCTTATTTAGTAGCTGGAGGCATGTATGTTTCAATGTTCTAGTTGCACTGGATTCCTGTTTTCCTGACAGGGAAGTTATGTTATTAAACCAGATCTTATAACTTTCTTATTAAGGTAGCTAGAGGCATGTATGTTTCAATTTTCTAGTTGCACTCGACGGTTGTATTTCCCCAAAGGGAACTTATGTTGTTAAACCGATCATATAACTTTCTTATTAAGGTAGCTAGAGGCATGTATGTTTCATTTTTTTAGTTGCACTGGATTGTTGTATTCCCCAAAGGGAAATGATGTAATTAAACCAGTACTTATGACTTTCTTATTAAGGTAGCTGGAGACATGGATTTGTCATTTTCCTAACTGCACTTTACTGTTGTTGTTTTAACCAACTAGAATTGATGTAATTAAAATAGAAGTCCTTACACCTTTGTTGAGGACGATGTTGCCAAGTTATACTGCTTTAAGCATGTATTTTGTTCTTAATCCAGAAGAGATGTCATTAAACCAGACGTGCTTACCAAATGTTATTAGGACAGTTAATCGGCTTAGGAATAAGTGGTACTGGTTGGACATACTAGACAGAGCATTTCTACAGCTATGTATCAATGGGGACCTTTTGTTACCCAAATGTCACTTATCCACTGTATTATAATTCCATTCTATAATGATAAATACCCCGCACCCATTTGCTGATAAAAGATCGTCCTGAGACCAATTTGAATGGGACTCAGATCAAATTAGACATTCGACCAAATACCTCTCATGTGACATTTAGTGTCAAGGAAGATTTGCAGGAATACGCAGGTATATACAGAATGGACATATAATTACTGGATAATCGAGTTTGCTGTCACCCAATATGTGGACATTCAGGATATGGTGGGAAGTGGATTACTTCTGTTGTTACCTGTGAAGCAGAACCCTCCCTAGTTGCTTTTAGTCTAAGGTAACCAGGCCTCCCATAATCAGCTGTGTCTCTGTAGCCTCTACGTAATGTTCACTGACGTCAGGATCACAAATATCACAACTAAGAGTGTGTTATTGTGTAGTCTTTTATTGTTTCTCTTGATAAATAAAATATTTCATAAAAATACAAACACGTGTTGACATTATATATTAATATGAATAACTGATTATTTCTACAGGATAGTTGGACAGGTAAGAATTAATTGAAGAAGAAATGTTGCCATCCACGGGACAACAGGCAGACAGCTACGTCAGACACAATGTTGGTAGGTAAATGTACTGGGTATATAATCGCAAGTGTTAACTCTTGCAACGCTGACGGATGCATTTCCCTACAATATGCCCATACCAATGAGGCTGTGTAATATCGAACACACCATTCCCTCAACATGACACATTGGCAGTGTACTCAGCTTCACACGGACAGTTGGATAGATGACAGTGGCAGCAAGGGTAAACGAGTGAGTGAGTCGGGTTCAACACTTCTTTGAACAATATCTTAGTTATATCAGAGATTACTGTTGAAGACACTATATGTCATCATTTCACAGAAACATGATATACAATGACGATATTACATAAATCCAGTGACTAGAAAAACCTGCCTTATGATTAATGTCTTGCATCCATATTGAGCTTATTACGAGAGAAAGTGATTTGGGTTTTACAAGCTTTTAGCAATATAACAAAAATATCAAGGCAGAGGAAATGGGCTTACATGATGAGTTATCTTTTGCATACATAAATATTAATTTACAAAATAATAGGGATTGATATTTCAGGAGGATTGGGTCTCAAGTCGAGAAATACAGATGCAAAGCACATGGCTAGCTATGGGAAATTGGAGTTATCTGCCCAAGTTAATTTAGAAGTTGTGGGTTACATAACTACCTATATGGCTGTACATGTGGATGGCATAGAGAAATGTTTCAAGCAGAATGCCGGAAGACTATGATTATGTGATTAGAAACCTCATTGGAAATCAGCGAATCACAAAGTTCATATTATTATTGCAAAAAGATTCTGCTCTGGGCTTAATGTTTGGCATTTCTTTTAACTTTAACACATATAAATTTCTCAGCTGGTGAAGCATACAACACACATATATGATCAACATCAGGTGCACAGTTGAGACACCATGTGGAGGTGATTCAATAAATTACTCTCATGTTTTGGTTTTCAATCTGCAACATGAACATACTTTCTTTGTGGTTTTCCAGGGTTTTCATTACTTGCTGTATAGATAAACAATCATAAGTGAACAATCAAAAATAATTTTCTTATTCTTCCTGCAAAGTCCTTTTGCAACAAACAATCATAAGTGAACAATTAAAAATAATTTTCTTATTCTTCCTGCAAATTCTAACCTACCAGTAGATTTATATTGGAAGGGAGGTAACTCCTCGCCTGTCATTTAAAGAACCACTTAAAACTGCATGTTTGCTTCAATTCATATCTTATATGTAATGCTACCCGCCCACTTTCGCGATTGAGGCTTTGACATTTCACGATGTTAAGCTCGCGTGAGCAATCATTATACATTAGCTCGTAATATACTTAAACTTTACTCCTTATGTGCTCGTGATACATCATAAGAAATTGTGGTTGGATCATGTGACATCGTGCCTTGCTCGTGTTATATATGTGTTGTCCACGGTAGTGTTCGAAGGAAGCTTGTGTATGTCATACCACACTCGTAGCGACCTTGTGCTGTAAGTGACCCAACGTAAACACGACGTTTTCATGATAGACACGATGTGAGTACAATGTCTTCACGATAGACGCAAAGTGAATTCGATTCATGAGAGCACAACACATTATAATTTTCATGGGGAAGAGCAAACTGTGTCCTTGTCACGAGTTTGACATGATGTTTATACGAGCGGGAAACGTGCATAATTTGAGTTAGCTCGAAGAATCTTGAGCTCACTATGATAATCAAGTGTTGAATACGAGCTTATCTAAGTCCGCTACGATATAGTCACGGTGGGATGAGTGTGTGGGTTGCATCACCCACCCCAGTTTGGAGATTACGCACAACCACACCCACACAGAACTAGGAACAGGTCCAGGTCCAGACACAGTCCCTCAGGACTCAGGGAGAAGGGTAAGGACTCTCTATGCGGGTCCACCATAGGGAAGTTCTAGAACCCTGTCGTGGTCTCTCGTGTCAGCTCCTGCAGCAAGGGGTCCTTGCACTGCACTGGACTTGACTTGAAAAGATGGTAGCCGGAACCGCAGCGCTCCAAAATGCGGTCTTATTCTTGTTGCGGTTTAGTCGTGTTGACATCGTGATAAACTCGTAGAGATTGTGTTAATGTCGTGGTAAGCTCGTAAGTAGCTCTTACTCAACTCGTACGAAACTAGTCTTTATCGTGCCAACATCGGTATGATTCTGAAGTGACGTCTCTGCTAAACATCGTACTAAACTTGTAGTAACCTTGTGATGTGCTTGTATGACATCATGCTTGTGGCATGTGAACTTCATTCACACATACAATTTTATAACCAGTACAATCACACATCGTGATATACCGCGGTGAGCATTGCCAAACTGGGCAGGTACTTACTCTATCACCCATACAGTAATAAAAACACTAATATTTGTTGGCAATTTTTCTCTTACTTATATTGCAACCACTTCTGCTGTGCCACAATGCAGTATATGTATAAAAGCAGCTGTAGTCCATGTCAATCCTGTCTTTTTCTATAAGTAAAATAAGTTATTAATGTGCCTTGCTATTTGAGATATGACAGTTTTCAGGAATGTTAAATGGTCCCCGGAAATGGATGACATCATCTGTTTCCATGACAACAAAACTGCTTCACCGAGAGAATTACTAAACATCAACTAACACAGAGCTATTGTCATATATATTAATAATGTATGAACAATTAACAGGATAAATAAACTAAATCACTCTGTCCAGACAGACACATTGAATAACTATATCTCCCTTCTTCTTCTTCATCTTCTCAGACTTCTTAAACATTTTAAGTATTTTAAAGTACGTATCTGACATACTTACAAATGCCATTTGACCACAGTGTTAATACAACAGCAGAAACACACCCCCTCTGCATGAGACTGTGTATACACATTTAATATACCAGATAACGGCGCCCATGGAAAAGGTCAATGTGACCCAGTTGTCCCTCTCACCTTCCCGGTCAAGCTGGTGTTATTGCACTCCAGTCCTGTGTATAAAACTCAATATTGCCTCCTTATATACCTGTCATGTGATCATATAGAATTATAAAAGATGATTCCATTACAAAGTTTCATCTCTATCAAAAACAGGTGTGATTGTATTCCTTATAGGGAAACATGAGCTAGCTCGAGGTTTTGAGGACAGGACACTGAGTACCGGAACACCCAGACACCAAGGTACCAGGGCATCTAGACACCTAGATACCAGCACATCTTGACACTTAGATACCAGACATTCAGATACATGTGCACACAGACACCTGGACACCTACATACCAGCACATCTTGACACTTAGAAACCAGATATTCAGACAGATGTGCACACAGACACCTGCACACCTAGATACCAGCACATCTTGACACTTACATACCAGACATTCAGACAGATGTGCACACAGACACCTGCACACCTAGATATTAGCACATGTTGACACTTAGATACCAGACATTCAGACAGATGGGCACACAGACACCTGCACACCTAGATAGGCTTGATCTCACACATCTTCACCTCCTGCCAAATCCAAATAAGCATTATGAATCTGGGTAGCTGTACATAGGAGCTGTCTCATCATGAGGTCTTGTTAATCACAGCCTTGACCTTGCACTTGACGTGGTCAGTTATATAGTTCAGATGATCTTCAGCAGTGAACACAGTTGACACAACACCAATCTCACGGTGTTGTGGTCAGTGAGTCAGGGTCTATAAAAGCACATTTATGACGTATATTTCCTGCGAGAATTTACTTGTAGGCTTGTCACTCTAACACCTTGGTCAGATGCTGTCAGGGTCCAAGATAACGGCGTCCACACTTGTGGTGCTCGGTAATGAAGGTAACGTCTTCTGTTGTCGCCGTATGTTCCAGTGGAGGCAGTCAGCAAGACCATCAAACGAATCGTCTATTTGGTCCTTGGCACACACCGAGGGAAGCGAGTACATCGTCGTGGTGATACGTAGCCTGGAAGTGAGGGGCAGTAAGTTATAGTATACATGGTTATACAGTGTACACGCTGAAGGAACCGGGTACATCGCCGTGGTGATACGCAGCCTTGAAGTGAGAGACAGTAAGTTATAGTATACGTGGTTATACAGTGTACACACTGAAGGAACTGGGTACATCGCCGTGGTGATACGTAGCCTTGAAGTGAGGTACAGTTCGTCGATAATACTCATAAATGTTCTTTCAACTAAACATTCCAAATTGTTACAGGTCATATTCTTTAACATTAAGTGAAACCTACGATAGACAACATCTAACCATCTACTCACGTGTCTCCTTGCTGTATTTCCGGTCTGTTCCGGCCATCAAAGGACACCCAGGCATTGTTCCGCGCATCCGGAGACACCATGATCTGAACAAGCAAACATACGCTACACAGGCATGTGGAGGTTCACAGTCACAAGAAGATAAAGATATTTCTGTGTTTCACTTTCACATTTGCAACTTGTTTTGTTTCTTTACCATATTCCAGCTCTATGACAGGGGTCTGTAATAATCAAGGCAGGACCAGACTATCCAGTGATTGATATTATGTCATTAGGGTTTGATGAAAAGCTAAAAAACAAGTCACGAAAACCTGACCACACCATACATTTAGTCGCCTATTACGACAAGTTGCAGTGGACAAGTTGGTAGAATGTACATGAATGATCACTGTTAGCCTTGTGCGATGTCAGTGCGCTATTGAAACATTCTCGAAGACATTTTGTCATAAGAAACTTCTAGCCTTGAGAGATAATTTCCTACGATTCCCATCACTGTATAGCTATCTGGGCTGGAGTTATCCCCCTTTATCTGAAGGTGTTGATGTGATGTGTTTCTTCTTATGACAGCAGCGACGCATATGATCCAAGAACTTGTGCCCATCTCCACAGACATAATGCTGCGTCAATGAACATCACAAGAGCTTCATATGGACCTTTAAAAGACCATTGTATGACCTCACCACAGACATAATACTGGGTCAATTGACTGCAACTGCGGACAATCTTATGACATTCACCAAACCATCACAAGACAATCACTAGACCTTCACAAAGCCCTCACAAGACCATCATTAGACTTCTTCAGACTTTCACAAGACCATCCCTAGACCTTCACAAAGCCCTCACAAGACCATCACTAGGCTCACCAAACCATCAGTAGACTTCATCTGGCCATAACTAGACTTCACCAGACTTTCACAAAACCCTCACCAGACCATCACCAGACCATCACCAGACCATCACTAGACTTCACAAGATCATCCCTAGACCTTCCCAAAGCCCCCACAAGACCATCACTAGACTCACCAAACAATCAGTTGATTTCAACTGGTCATAACTAGACTTCCCCAGACCATCACTACACTTTACCAGACCTTCACAAAACCATCACCAGACCTCCACAAAACCATCACCAGACCTCCACAAAACCTTCGCTAGACCATCACTAGACTTCAGAAGACCAACAGAAGACTTCACCAGACTATATCGAAGGTTTTTCACAAAGCCCTAACCAGACCTTCACTTCAGGCTATTTTCACAATACCTCCAGATGACCATCACCCTTCTAATAGTTATGTAACTGTACTCACTTTGATTTCCACGCCGGCTGGGACGACAACGGGCCTGCATGAGAGTGAGTGCGGGCAGATGGGTGTGATGAGGATGCAGTGGACATTGGGATGGATCATGGATGCCCCTGCCGCAACCGCATACGCCGTGCTTCCCGTCGGCGTGGAGATGATCAAGCCTGAAATAGGATGTGCAGAGTTTGGTTTTGGACACATTCAAACAGTCAAGTCATGGGTTCTGAAAGAGTCCAACTGTCAACAATGGTCAATATGGTCATAATGGTCATAATGATCATAATTCTCACTCACCGTCCCCCCGTACTGACGTGACAAGTCAACTGTCTTTATACAGGTCTATATTGCACAAGTATTGGTAAGGCCCTCGGTCTATCACTACTTCATTCAGCACCTGAAACAGAAACATCATGATCAACACTGTATCATTGTATTTGTTTTTGTTTGTTTGTTGTCGAAAACCGCACTCAGCAATATTGCAGCCAAATGATGGCGGCCTGTAAATAATCCTTTAAACTCATATGGAACTAACTATCAGTCACATGGCAATAGGTACATGTACTTACTTATATATGGGCGGTCCCACATTTCTTGTCTATATTTTTTACATGAGGTATTCTGGAGCACTCGGAACCCTGATTACATACAACACATTTGAGGCGGTATCGCAACAGCAGGGAAGCATCCCCTGAAACAACAAAAACATCACATCTAACCCTCCAAGTGTCAGGCCTCTAAGTTTTGGTGGAGAATACTTTAGAAGAATATTTTTATTGAAACAAAGATGGTGACATGGCTGCCATATTGAAATTAACTCTTTCAACACCGTAGGCCGGTACACCTGTCAGGAAGCCTCGAGTCTCCAGACCAGCCAAGCCGTAGTCACGTCAAAATTGTAAATAATTTTTTTAATCTACCTGTCATATCATTTATTTATTAAATCGATCACATTTCACAATGTCTGAAATACGTATTCAATTCCAATTATTCACTATTTCCCGCAATGTTATCAAAGAGCAAAATAAACTCGTTTCAAGCAAATCTTTAAATATAGTGTACAAAGTAATAAATAAAATAAACAAAAATATATCTAAAAGTTGGCAAACTTACTACTAAGTTATTATTTCCATCTTTTCATGTGATTATGTAAGTCAAATGACATGTCGGATTTAATCGCCTCAATTTCTCGACTCGGACACGATGTTTAATGCCAAAATATATGCATGAAAACCAAGCACGATACATCTACAAAGCTCAATATTTTTAACATATATTGCGTTTTCTTGCTTAATACTTTCAGAACAACACGATTTAACAAAAATCTTTTGTCAAAATCTGAAATTCACCACACACGGGGATTGGCTGCCTTAGGTCACCTGCTTAAATTTGACCAGAATTTGTAGCAGAATTCGGCAAGAAAGCATCATTAGAAACCAATTTGTATCCAATAAAATCGCAAGTCTCCAGGCGATGTTACAGGCGTGTAGATGAAAAAAACATGCTTTCTAGAGATGTGTCATATGTCAGTCTTCGACGAACGTGGTATACATACAATGCTTTGAAAACGGAGGCATTTCTTCATGTTACAAAGCGGATAGCGGCTGTTATCGGGAAATGGGTGATGACAGATATACTATTAATAAGTCTTTTTAAAATAATTTTCCAATTACGTGAACAATGAAAATTGAAAAGAAATAGGTAAGTGGATTTTAGGAGATCTTTTATTTGCCGAAAATCGTCAAAAATGTTGCTTCCTTGGTCCTTATCTGGACGTTATGAATGTGTTAGCTGACCGATTTTTATTTACAACGCACTTAATTAAGTTGTGAATGCATTATTTAAACAATGTGGTAAACATATCGTTCATGTTAATAAACAATAGAATTAGACCTTTCAAATGGTGTATGACACGTACGTGTAGTGGCAAAGATGTTTTACAAGCAGATATTTTCTTTGATAAATGTTGGCTTCATCACACAGGAGTCTCTGGGAACTCGGTGTCACAGCACTAAACGCTTTTGGTTGACTCGTGTTGAAAGAGTTAAGATTCCTGAAGGACTGAGAATGGAAATCAAATATGGCTGCCAGCATAAAAACAATCAAGTTGCTCTGAAATACAACCTGCCCTAAACCTTCAAGATTCAGGGTGTCAGGTTTTTGGAGAAGAAGATCTTAGTAGTTTAATTAATTAAATCAAAGGTGGCCACCATGCTGCCATATTAAAATTCTCTGTGTGTCAACTTAATGTGTCAGAATCACAGCTTTTACTGCCATTTTCTATTCTTCATTAACGTGGTTAACAGTTATGAAAGGGCAGTTCAAACAAATATTAAACTAATTTCTTTTCAATTGTAAACATGTAAACCTAATTCATATGAATTTGCTAAATAAATACAATATTAAAATCATAAGCAAACTCTTTGCGTTTTGATTCTACACAAAGGAACTTGTGTTCATAATTTTTGAAAGAATTAGGTGTAAGCTGAAAATGCACCATGGCTCATTATTGGTGCTAACTGTGTGCATCTTCACACGTAAGTAGTTTCTTTCTTTCCTTGTTATATGAGAATGCTTAAAAACAATATGTACTGTCAGATTTCAGAAACTTGTGTTAATGTTTCCATATCACTCAAAAACTATGTCTACATATCTTAATTATCTTGTAAAACACTGGTGACTGCTTTCCCTATCACTCAGAAACAATGTCTATATATCGTACCTTGTAAAACACTGATGACTTCTTTCCCTATCACTCTGAAACAATGTCTACATATCGTACCTTGTAAAACACTGGTAACTGCTTTCCCTATCACTCAGAAACAATGTCTTTATATCGTACCTTGTAAAAAACTGATGACTTCTTTCCCTATCACTCAGAAACAATGTCTACGTATCGTACCTTGTAAAAAACTGGTGACTTCTTTCCCTATCACTCAGAAACAATGTCTATCTATCGTACCTTGTAAAACACTGGTGACTTCTTTCTCTATCACTCTGAAATAATGTCTATCTATCGTACCTTGTAAAACACTGGTGACTTCTTTCCCTATCACTCTGAAATAATGTCTATCTATCGTACCTTGTAAAAAACTGGTGACTTTTTTCCCTATCACTCTGAAATAATGTCTATCTATCGTACCTTGTAAAACACTGGTGACTTCGTTCCCTATCACTCAGAAACAATGTCTACATATCGTACCTTGTAAAACACTGGTGACTTCTTTCTCTATCACTCTGAAATAATGTCTATCTATCGTACCTTGTAAAACACTGGTGACTTTTTTCCCTATCACTCTGAAATAATGTCTATCTATCGTACCTTGTAAAACACTGGTGACTTCGTTCCCTATCACTCAGAAACAATGTCTATCTATCGTACCTTGTAAAACACTGGTGACTTGTTCCTTGAAGTTACAAAAGTGGAATGGAGTGAGGAAGCCGAGGGATCCCATGTTGAAGGCCATCACAGGAGGAACACTTTGCTGGGGAGACAACCACACTCAACACACTGCACTCGACAACTAAATCACATCATGTACGACTTCATTTCAGCAGGTGTCACACATGTTTCTGGTTAGATCAAGGGGAGGTAATTTCCACAAACAGAACTCATAAGGCACAGACAATCATACCTGAAGCCCACGTTCACCTAAATCTTGACAACTACAACTACTTTTTTCAAATGAATTTTAACTCAACTTTTCAAATGGGTTTGACTGTTGTCTAACTGAAGGAACCAAAGCAGAAAGCCATCACAGTAGAGAGTGGATGTGGTCTTACGCCGATTTCAGTAACATTCCAGTAATATCATGAGGGACACAAGAAATGTCTGCACATTATACCCATGTTGGGATTCCAACTCGGGCGTTTGGTATGATGAGCGAACGTGATATAATCAGGACGCCCAATTATCTACAGTCACATCTGCTGTCCACTTTCAATGAAGTCTTCATGTACTTTACAGACAACAAATGTAATTATTTCTCATCATGATCATTGTCTTGATGATGTGGAAGAAAATTTACAAAGTCTTCCCTTTGATGTACGCAATTTTCGGGAAGAAAAAATAAACTGACAATTAAATATGACATTTGAAAAATAAAGCCACAAACCTCTATAGCTTTCCAAATAAAGTAACAATAGTGTCTACGATTAAAGTTCAGTTGGAATTCTGTGAACGGTTTTAGAAACCATAGCTTGAGAGTCATTTCTGCAGGTGAGCTAAAAGGGAGGAGGGAGAGAGAGCGCCTCACATCTCTTGGATTCACCCTTCAGATCGGCCTATGATTTGACAACATGGACTGAAGAGTTATCTCCCTTGCTCTGCTGTCGTCTGCCACATGTGTAACGACATCATGGATCAACTCTTTCTTCCACAACAAACAGATGCTGACATCTGCTCTCTAGAGGGCACAGCTCACTCTATACAACCTTCCTCAAAGCTCTCAATGCTTCAAACCCACTCTTTACAGTCAGTGTTTGAAATAATTTTGAAACCCAAAAAGACAGTCAGGCAGGTGACCCCTGCATTCAGACCTTAGAAATAATGAAAAATCGCCAAAAAATAAGACACAAATCGTGTGTGATGATCTTAATTCATTTGAAATAATATAAACAATTACATAAGAATCTACAAGGAGTAATAATAAAACGGAATATGCAAGAAGTCTTAGAATTATCTGCAGCCCAACAGGAAAGTTACCAGCCACAGTTATTTCGGACACTGTTTACAGTGCAAAAATTAATCAAGCAGGCAGGGTTAAGAGGCGAGGTGAAATTGGGTTTAACGTCGCGTCCAAGATTATTGCACTTATATAGCGACGTGCATGCACGTGTGTGTGTGGCTGCTTGTACTAGTCCGGACTGATGCCGATTTATAGTGCTAGCTCACTGAGATACCATGCCGCAGTTTAACATGACAACCCCACTCAGACACAGTATACTGACTCCGAGCCGACCAGTCCTTGTTTTAGACCCGTAATGCCGAGCGCCAGACAGGGTAACAACAAGTACCATATTTTAACGTCTGTTGGTATGACGCTGCCGGGCATCGAACCCCGGACCTTCCGCTCTCCGGGCGGACGCTCTACCACAAGACCACGGAGAAGGTCGGCAGGGCTAAGAAGTGCCAAAAACAAATCAATATTCCAGGGTCCCTTTCAACAAAGCGGACCGCCTCCGTGGTCTTGTGGTAGAGCGTCCGCCCGGAGAGCGGAAGGTCCAGGGTTCGATCCCGGGCCGCGTCATACAAAAAGACGTTAAAAGATTGTACTTGTTGTTACCCTGTCTGGCGCTCGGCATTAAGGGGCTAAAACAAGGACTGGTCGGCTCGGAGTCAGTATACTGTGTCTGAGTGGGGTATTCATGTTAAACTGCGGCATGGTATCTCAGTGAGCTAGCACTATAAATCGGCATCAGTCCGGACTAGTACAAGCAGCCACACACACACATACACGTACATGCACGTCGCTATAAAAGTGCAATAATCTTGGACGCGACGTTAAACCCAATTTCACCTCACCTTCAACAAAGCGATCGCAGTACTAACACTTCCTGGAGCCTATATCAAACGTATGGAACTTATGATTATCAAAGCACTAACATAACTTTGTGCAAGGAGACCAATGCACAGCTTACCGTGATCCTTGCATCATCATTGACTTACCTGAAATAAAGACGAAGCATACATCAGTGTCCCATCACCACCGAGGCACACGATGAAATCGATCTTTTCTGTAACATCTTCCTCACCTACAACCAACATCACTTGTCTTACATGGCATGTATACATGACTAATGCTTAAGAAGCAGGGACCTACAGTAACTGACAGCAGCATAAACATAGAAAAGATGGGAAAGAGTTAAATGTTAAACTTCACGATCGCTGCCACTGCTGTTTGAAGCATTTGAAGTTCCCTAAAATGAAATCCATGTAAATAGAGAGGGGAGTGGTGCCTTATATTCAGCACCACTTTGAACACTTCTCCAGTTGCATGAGGGTGTTGCAGCACAATGTGTGAAAAAGCGCTATTAAATGCCAATGAAGTGTCTCTATTGACCAGGGGTCACAGTAGTTGTGACAACAGGCATACTAGAATCCTATCCTAGGAATCTGCTTGGCTGCAACCACGCAAAACTATTCATCAGAATGTTCAGCAGAAGTCCTCTTCACTGTCAACTACACAAAACTGGTTGTCAAGACAAAAGAACATCCAATCAGCATCCAGCTCCATAGCCTAACAAGGCGGGAAGCCCTCATGTCTTGAAGTGAATGTCACCTTTTCAACTGAGTTTAATCTCTAACACTTGGGGTTATGAAGTCACACCAGATAATAAAAATTCAGATCGCTATATAAGTACAATAATCCCCACTTCACCTCACCTCCTCCTTCTCTTGGAATTTTATGTTGGCTGCGTTAATTTATACATGTGTTGTTTCCCTTGACACACTTGACTGCCAACTATTAAAGTAAGGTTAATCTTCGTGCATTATTTAAGTTATTTAAACCTTTACCACTTTGGTGACGTCTACGAGCAGATATGGTACAGACAAACTACTGATACTGATCAGGGCTTTACTCGGAATCGATTCAAACCATCCGTGATTCCATCTACGATCAAGTAGGCAGCCCCAGAGAGGAAAAATCCCTAACCCTCAACACTTTCGTGAAATTTATTAGCATAATGGTGCTCGCATACAATTGATCAGGGCACTACTGGGATAAGATTACAGGCGGCCTGTGGTCTTTGGGGCATTTTGAGAAAGTTATACGTTGGAAGATTTTGACCATAGTACAAATACTTTAAGTAGTAGAATGTTTGTTACTGATGATAAATATGTACCCCTGTGGAAACAACGTCATGCTAGTGCTACATTTATGTATGTATGCCCGACTGCAGTGGTCGGTTGTAGCGTGAGACCACGACTGACTACTTAACGTATGTGCGATGCATATAAACTAGTGTCCAAAAGAAACGATACCACCTGTTTGCAACGACATAAAAGAAAAACTAAACATTGCAGAAGTTTAGGATTGGTGTTATGCTTTTGAGAAATCCTTTCACAACATCTGTACAAAAATTTCATTTCAATAAAATCTGTACAACCAATATGACAAGTCTTTACAGATGGGTGGGGTCGAAAAATGAACATTTCGTTAGAGCACTGATCACAGAAACAACGGGAAATGTCACACCACACGTCTCAAAGTCAAGTCAGTAGCGGGTATGTCCACCGTGAGCATCAATACATGCCAGAACACGCCTACGGACTGATGACGTCAAACGTCTGATGACGTTGGGAGTGATGCGTTGCCATTCGTCGAAGAGACATCGTTCCAAGTCCTGGACGTTGACTGGAGGCACATGGCGACGTCCGATTTGCCGATCGAGGTGGTCCCATTAGTGCTCGATGGGATTCATGTCCGGTGAACATGCGGGCCATGGCAAAACCTGTACGTTGGCGTTGGAAGGGAGTTCTGTGTCAATCTTGCTGTGTGTGGCCTTGCATTGTCATGTTGGAAAAGGAGTCCACGAAGCTGTTGCTGAATAAAGGGCACCACAACAGGCCGTAGGATGTCATCAAGATAACGCTGTGCATTCAGGTTTCCACGAATTACGACAAGCATCGTTTTGACGTCACCACATATGCCACCCCAAACCATTAACCCTCCACCTCAAAACGGCCGGACCTGTTGGATACAGTTAGGCGCCAAACGTTCACCAAATCGTCGGTATACAAGCTGCCGTCCATCGTTTCTGAAGATGAGGAATCTACTCTCATCAGAGAACATAACACGTGCCCAGTCCCGCCGTTGCCAACGTCGAACTCGCCTGGCCCAGATCAGTCTGTTGTTCCGGTGTCGAGGCGTCAGGAGCGGTCCGCGGTAGGGATGACGTGGCCGGATACCATACTGCCGTAGTCTCCTGTAGACGGTCTGTCGACTGATCCTGTGTCCCAGTGCTGTAGCCGCCGTGGACGTCGCTGTTACGGTGCGGTTCCTCAGGTGTAATACCCGGATGTAACGATCTTCACGGGTCGTGGTTACTCGTGGTCTTCCACATCTGGGCCTGTCTGACGTCTGACCTGTCTGACGTAACCGCTGCATCAACCTGGTGATAGTGATGCGTGCGCAGCCCAATCTTCTGGCGACGTCGACGTGTGACGCTCCTTGTTGGACCATTCCAACGGCTCTCTCTCTCTCGATGGCTGTCAAACGTGGCATATCTTGTGTTCTTTTTGTTGCTGTGATATCAACGTGTCTGATCAGCCGTTTTATACAGTTTTTCTGCACGTGCAGAACATGCTAGAGAGGGAAATGTCACTTTCACGAAATTTACGTTTTTTCCCGGAAGTGATCACGTGTTCCCGGTATTTTTTATCGAGTATGCTGTGTTTGGGATGTGCAATACGAATTGGCATGTTTTCATACTTGACAATTCACTTAGTAAAAAACAATTTTGAAAAAAAATTGGTATCGTTTCTTTTGGACACTAGTTTACATGGGTCGGCTATAGCATGAGTCCACGACTGACACTTAACCTGTGTTCAATGCATATACATGGGACGGCTTTAACATGAGACCACGACTGTCACTTAACCTATGTTCAATACATATACATGTGTCGGCTATAACATGAGACCACGACTGTCACTTAACCTATGTTCAATGCATATACATGGGTCGACTATAACATGAGACTACGACTGTCACTTAACCTATGTTCAATACATATACATGGGTCGGCTATAACATGAGACCACGACTGTCACTTAACCTATGTTCAATGCATATACATGGGTCGGCTATAACATGAGACCACGACTGTCACTTAACCTATGTTCAATGCATTTTCATGGGTCGGCTTTAACATGAGACCACGACTGTCACTTAACCTATGTTCAATACACATACATTGGTCGGCTTTAACATTGGACCACGACTGTCACTTAACCAATGTTCAATGCGTGTACATGGGTCGGCTTTAACATGAGACCACGACTGTCACTTAACCTATGTTCAATACATATACATGGGTCGGCTATAACATGAGACCACGACTGTCACTTAACCTATGTTCAATACATATACATGGGACGGCTTTAACATGAGACCACGACTGTCACTTAACCTATGTTCAATGCATATACATGTGTCGGCTATAACATGAGACCACGACTGTCACTTAACCTATGTTCAATACATATACATGGGACGGCTTTAACATGAGACCACGACTGTCACTTAACCTATGTTCAATGCATATACATGGGTCGGCTATAACATTGGACCACGACTGTCACTTAACCTATGTTCAATATATATACATGGGACGGCTTTAACATGAGACCACGACTCTCACTTAACCTATGTTCAATGCATATACATGGGTCGGCTATAACATTGGACCACGACTGTCACTTAATCTATGTTCTATACATATACATTGGTCGGCTATAACATGAGACTACGACTCTCACTTAACCTATGTTCAATACATATACATGGGACGGCTTTAACATGAGACCACGACTGTCACGTAACGTATGTTCAATACATATACATGGGACGGCTTTAACATGAGACCACGACTGTCACTTAACCTATGTTCAATGCATATACATGGGACGGCTATAACATGAGACCACGACTGTCACTTAACCTATGTGCAATGCATATACATGGGACGGCTTTAACATGAGACCACGACTGTCACTTAACCTATGTTAAATGCATATACATGTGTCGGCTATAACATGAGACCACGACTGTCACTTAACCTATGTTCAATGCATATACATGGGACGGCTTTAACATGAGACCACGACTGTCACTTAACCTATGTTAAATGCATATACATGTGTCGGCTATAACATGAGACCACGACTGTCACTTAACCTATGTTCAATGCATATACATGGGTCGGCTATAACATGGGACCACGACTGTCACTTAACTTTTCTTCAATGCATATACATGGGTCGGCTTTAACATTGGAGCACGACTGTCACTAAATTTATGTTCAATGTATACACATTTGTCGGCTATAACGTGAGTGAGTGAGTGAGTATGGGTTTACGCCGCTTTTAGGAATATTCCAGCAATATCACGACGGAGGACACCAGAAATTGGCTTAACACATTGTACCCATGTAGGGAATCGAACCCCGGTCTTCGGCGTGACGAGCGAATGCTTTAACCACCAGGCCACCCGATCGCCCCTATAACATGAGACCACAACTGACTGCCTAACCTATCTTCAATACACAGGGGGACCTTATAAACTGGAAACAATGTCTCAACAATATTACCTCGAAATATGTTTAATATATCTAACAACAATGGTTAAGTTGATATTTCTGACCGTCATTATGCCGCATGATTACATGCACTAAGTGACTGTTCATTTACATTTGAATAATATTTCATTGTTGATTTTAACAGTTTGGATTAACACATTCATATATTACATTATTTACCTTGATTAAAGAACTCGTCTTGCACAAATGATGTTTTTACGAATCCGAATTACAAGTTGAGTTGTTTTTATATGCCAAACGTAAATATCGTTTTCATAATGAACACATTCTGAAGCAATCAACTGTAATAATAAAATTGGGCAAAATGGATGTTTTGTTTCATGTGACATTAATTAACCATGGAAGAGGATGATGACAGGATGATAAGTTGCGTCCCTTAGGCGTGCAAGGATCCTATGACCAAGTCCAGATTAGTCCTGATAATCATATTTGTATTTGTACCTGTGGGTTCAACACAGTGGTAAACGTTTGAGACGTGCATCACTTCGGGCTTTCCTCACACGTCAAGCTGACACATCATTTAACAGACGAAATCAGCGTCAGACCCAACCCATTTTCTCACTGTAAATTATGCACCAATGGGGGCTGTTTAAGACAAACGGTTTTTAATAAGGGAGGTAACTCGTACGTGCATACAACCGATGCTTTATCACTGTACCCGGCGCTACACGCCGTCACTTATCTGGCCTCTCTCTCTCACACACACACACTGTGCATATCGATCTAGGTCAGAATGCACCAGCTGTCACTACCTCGTCGCTTCACAACACGCAAGACATTTAAACACGCAACGTCATTCGCCAGTGATTGCTTGATTACTTCTCACATGTTTTGCAGAACGTTTCTACTTAAGCGCAATATTGAGGTTTCGGTGTATTGATGTCTGTGTTTCCCTATTGACGAGAAGTGGCGATGTGGGTAACAATTTCACTTGTAACACCGAAGAACAGGGTTCGAGTCATCACATGTTCAAATGCGTGAAGCCAATTGCCTGTGTCCCCAACATGATATTCCTGGAAATTACAAAAGCTGGGCAAAACTTCACTCCCGAACTCATTCACTCACTCGCGCACCCGCCCACCTACTCACTCACTCACTCACTCGCCCTCCTACACGTGAAGAAACGGGGGTAGAATAGGTCTTCAGCAACCCATACTTGCCGTAAAAGGCGACTATGCATGCTTGTCGTAAAAGGCGACTAACCGGATCGGGTGTTCAGGCTCGCTGACTTGGTTGATGCATGTCATCGATCCCAATTGCGTGGGTCGATGCTCATGATGTCAAATACTGGATTGTCGGTTCCAGATTCGATTACTTTACAGACCGCCCTCATATAGCTGGAATATTGCTGAGTGCGGCGTTACACAACAAACTAACAAACAAACAAACACTCGCCCTTCCACTCACTCTCAATAATGAATTGTCCAAAAATTGACATTACTCCATATACTTTTTACAAAAATCAAACATCGCTCTAAAAGTACAAAGGAATTTAAACCAATTGTTCAACCATTCATGTACTCATTTATAATCCAATTGCAATGGATATCTTTTTGACACACATTAAATAAACCCTTGTAAGCCGACATGAGTAAGATCATGACAGCACTTCCTGGTTACATGAAAAGTGCTAATCAAAGTCGTGATGATATCTTAAGTATTCATACGGAAACATTATGCAACAGCTCTCGTAGATAGGCGTGATATCCGAAAAGGCATGTGATGATATCATCAATATTTTGCATGGTAAATTGTGTATGCAACCGTATTGCAATGTATTGTACTTTCTATATAATATAATACTCTTTCTTGAACTGTTTGGATGCTCATGCCTCGTTATCTCGAATGTCCGGATACCTCGAAGTAACAACACGGTCCCACAAGGTTCGATTTTAAGGGGCGGGGGGGAGGGAAGAGTTTAATGATTAGAAAAGTAATTCGCCTTTAAACAAACTTTTCCATAGTGCATTTCACAATTTCGTAAACAGTGTTATCTGGACGGCAAGGCCACTGTTATTGTCATGTTGGGCAATTTGTAACGTGATAAAATAGTGATACGGATGGCCCTAGATACTGTTGCATCTGACATGTGTGATGCTTTTTTTAGTATGTATATGGGAACATCAATAGCATTTGTAGATAGGAGTGATGTCCTAAATGGCATGTGATGATATCATTGATATTTTTGATGGTTACATTTAGCAATAGATCTAGTAGAAGAAACTGATGTTACAACTGATGTGTGCTATGATATCATTAATATGTAGATTGTTACATTTTGCAATAGCTCTTGTAGAAGAAAGTGAATATTACAACTGTCATGTGTGATGATATCATTGATATTTTAGATGGTTACATTATGTCAGAGCTCTTGTAGATGGAAGTAATGTTACAACTGACATTTGTGAGGATATTATTAATATTTTAGATGGTTAAATTATGCAATAGCTCTTGTAGATAAATGCGATGTTAAAACTGACATTTGTGATGCTATCATTTATATTTAAGATTGTTACATTATGCAATATGGAAGTAATGTTACAACTGACAAGTATGATGATGTCATTCATATTTAGATGGTTACATTATGCCATAGTTCTTGTTGAAGAAAGTAATGTTACAACTGACAAGTATGATGATATCATTAATGTTTTTATTGTTACATTATGCAATAACTCTTCTAGATGGAAGAGATGTTACAACTGTCATTTGTGATGATTTTATTAATATTTTATATGGTAACAGTATGAAATGTCTCTTGTAGATGGTAGTGGTGTCACAACTGGCATATGGGATGATATCATTAATATTTTAGATGGTAACATTATACAATAGCTCTTGTAAATGGAATTGATGTTATAACTCGCTCTGTGGTGATATCATTGATATGTTACATGGTTACATCATGCAATATCTCAGATTAAAGCAGCATGCGTCCCAACTCTCATTCGCAGGGTGAACTATGCACCAGTGTGTTGTTTCTCTCTCTCTCTCTCTCTCTCTCTCTCTCTCTCTCTCTCTCTTTCTCTCTCTTCCTCTCTCTCTCTCTCTCTCTCTCTCTCTCTCTCTCTCCCCTCTCTCTCTCCCTCTCTCTCTGAATCAGGGCCAGCATGCACCAGGTGTCACTTCCTTGTCGCTGTACAGGCTGGTCCAGACTATTTACAGACTATTTACAAACTAAGGCCGTGTAGCTAGACGCTTGCTGAGTGATGTGCTAGTCAACAAACAAACAAACAAACAAACAAACAAACAAATAAACAAACAAACAAACGTGCTTATGATAAACTATTATATGAACTGCATAACCTTTTTAAGAGAATTTTTTTATTTCACAAAATTGGTCAAGTTCCACAGCCTGGTTTCCTCCAACATTAAACTGACACGCCTTACTCACTCACTCACTCATTCACTAATCCATATGCATATACTTTTCAATGAATGACATTACAAACAAATATCTTGTAGATGGAAGTGATGTTACAACTGGCATTTTGTGATGATATCATTGATATTTTAGATGGTAACATTTAACACCACTTGTGATGAAAGTATATAGATAGATACTGACCATTTCTTTATTTATAAGACCACGAAGGGCTTGATTCTCTATTCTAGATGATTGTACAGTTGAAAGATAGCCAGCTGTACAAGTTATATTCACGTGTGAATTGAAACGTGAAAGTGTCTATCATAAGGGGTTTTGCTCAAAGGGACACACTGAGCTGGAGGTATTTGAATTCAGAAATGAGAATCACTGGACTTAAATGAATGTTGAGAGGCAATAGGTAACCAGGTATAAATAATCTACACAATACACCAGAAATCCTTTTACAAATCCAGTTTGAATGTGAAATAACGCTTTCAAGATTCACAGCTGATTCATCTTCATCCGCATATTGTCAAACTTTATTAGCCACCTGGAAGTCAGCAGACTTGCTCTATTAATACTGTATTGTGTTGTGTTAGTGATAGCTTTGCATGGGACGGGTTCCTCTAGTCATGGTGATTGAAGCGGAACATGTTTAAAACAAGCTTGAAGCCGCTTAAAGGAACATGTCAGATGATGCTTTGCGTCTTCAGGAGAAGTATTTCCCTCTAATAGTGTAATGCCCCTGTCATAGTGTAAGGTCCCTGTAAAAGTGTAATCTCCCTATAATAGTGTAATGCTCCTGTAATAGTGTAATGCCCCTCTAATAGTGTAATGCTTCTGTAATAGTGTAATGTTCCTGTAATAGTGTAATGCCCCTGTAATAGTGAAATGCTCCTGTATAAGTGTAATTTCCCTCTAATAGTGTAATGCTTCTGTAATAGTGTAATGCCCCTCTAATAGTGTAATGCTCCTGTAATAGTGTAATGCTCCTGTAATAGTGTAATGCCCCTGTAATAGTGTAATGCTCCTGTAATAGTGTAGTTTCCCTTTAAAAGTGTAATGCCCCTGTAATAGTGTAATGCTCCTGTAATAGTGTAGTTTCCCTCTAATAGTGTAATGCCCCTGTAATAGTGTAATGCTCCTGTAATAGTGTAGTTTCCCTCTAATAGTGTAATGCCCCTCTAATAGTGTAATGCTCCTGTAATAGTGTAATGTCCCTCTAATAGTGTAATGTCACTGTAATAGTGTAACGCTCCTGTAATAGTGTAATTTCCCTCTAATAGTGTAATGCCCCTGTAATAGTGTAATACCACTGTAATAGTGTAATGCTACTGTAATAGTGTAATGCCCCTCTAATAGTGTGAGGCTCCTGTAATAGTGTAATGCCCCTCTAATAGTGTAATGCCCCTCTAATAGTGTAATGCCCCTTTAATAGTGTAATCCCCCTGTAATAGTGTAATGCCCCTGTAATAGTGTAATTTCCCTCTAATAGTGTAATGCCCCTCTAATAGCGTAATGCCCCTGTAATAGTGTAATGCTACTGTGATAGTGTAATGCCCCTGTAATAGTGTAATGCCCCTCTTATAGTGTAATGCTACTGTAATAGTGTAATGACACTGTAATAGTGTAATGCTACTGTGATAGTGTAATGCCCCTGTAATAGTGTAATGCCCCTCTTATAGTGTAATGCTACTGTAATAGTGTAATGCCCCTCTAATAGTGTAATGCCCCTCTAATAGTGTAATGCCCCTGTTATAGTGTAATACCCCTCTAATAGTGTAATGCCCCTCTAATAGTGTAATGCCCCTCTAACAGTGTAATGCCCCTTTAATAGTGTAATGCCCCTCTAATAGTGTAATGCCCCTGTAATAGTGTTATGCCCCTGTAATAGTGTAATTTCCCTCTAATAGTGTAATTCCCCTGTAATAGTGTGAGGCTCCTGTAATAGTGTAATGCCACTGTAATAGTGTAAAGCCCCTCTAATAGTGTTATGCCCCTGTAATAGTGTAGTGCCCCTTTAATAGTGTAATTTCCCTCTAATAGTGTAATGATCCTGTAATAGTGTAATTTCCCTCTAATAGTGTAATGCTCCTGTAATAGTATATATAACATATACATCAGTAATGTAAAGCGTGATATTAAAATACATGAAATCAACACAATTCAAACTCGTGTCCCAAGGCACTTCCCAGCCATTAGTAGATTAAAGCATTATGGTTACATTCTCCTTTTAAACAAGAGAACGATATTAATTGTTAATTCGTTCTATGATTTATTCAAGTATATATAGTTCTTATGACAACATTATATTATTGACTTTACATTTCATTGTGCTGTAGCCATAATTGCGGAGGAACTTTTCATTCATGGCCTGGTAATAACTCAACATTTTATTATATGCCTTTGCGTAAAGTACACTTTGAAAAGTAAATATATGAAAGGCCTAAGAGCAGTGTCACATGTCTTGTGTCATTTAAGAGTTGTATCTGTTCTGGGTGTTGTCTCAGCACTATTCCAGCCTATGGCAGTCGCATCTTAATAATCGAGTCTGGAACAGATAATCCAGTGATATTATGATCAATACTCCAATCCGTGGATGGCAAACAATCAACCATGTCAACAAGCTGACCACCAATCCATTACGTTGCCTCTTACAATTAGAAAGCGTTTGCCCTAAAATTCTGATTCTCCACAATATAAATATTTACATCTTCGATGATTCGTATAGGATCAAACAATGTACTTGAATATCGTGTTACCCGTGTTTATTCATCTATGATATTTCTTAAATCCTTACTCCTTACTTGCATTTAAATCTCCAACACTTGTACTGTTGTTTGTTATATCAAGGGAACTGTCAATACTTATATATATATATATATATATATACTTAATATCAATTCTATCAATTTTGAATTCTATCAATTTCATAAATTGAATATCTTCCCTGTACCTGTCGACTGTAGGACGTCACGTGTTTTCTCTCTTTCTTTTTGTCTGTTTGAATGCACAGATATAACACGCATCACATACCGCATGGGATGGGCTCAGCCAGTCTTGTCAGGTGACAACAGCAAATAGGCTGCAACTGGCGCAATGCACTGCATTTAGAGCTTCAACTGGTGTGTTTGGTCACGGCTGGTAAGTAAGGCTCTTCTTTCTGTTATACTGTTACAAGTTTGTAAAAGATGTGTGCGTGTGTGTGTGTGTGTGTGTGTGTGTGTGTGTGTGCGCGTGTGTGTGTGTGCGCGTGTGTGTGTGTGTGTTGGGGGGGGGGGGGGTTTCGAAGATTCATTGTCATTATGCTCTATGATGTAATATGATATAGTCACGTCCTGGAAAATATTCCGGTTGCAAGTTATACCTGAGATTTTCTTCGACATAAACTTTTTCCTTGAATATATTTTCAAGACCTACGTTCGACCCCCACCCTCATTTAGTAGGCGCACATTCGTTTTGTTGGTATGGATATGTAGCATTATATATAATTCTCATTGTGTTATTTTCATGAGAAATGTCTTTATGAATTATTTAGTGTGACGTTAGTTCTACGATAGGTACACGAAGTCAATGAAGTTTGAAAATAAATGTCGGTGATGATATAAACCTGAAAATAATAATAATAAACCTTGATTCGAAATCGGACATGATACACGCCTATGACCTCAAACTTTTTACCGGGAACTTGTTCCATAAAAGGAATAACTCATGAATATTAATGACCCAACGACCTAGTTTTGCGAGATTCGTAGAAGTGAGCTCTGCTGTAGTTCCTTCACATTTGCACATTGTATAAAAAATTAATACTCACAATACTCATTTTGAATACACAAAATGGTAGTTCGTAATACGGGTCTATTTACGTAGAACATAATCTCTGCAACAAGTCCGATTTGTTTCGAATGTTGGCCAAGCTCGAACTTTAGATTAGACAAGCGGAGTTAGCTTCATTCTCGAATCATCAATAATGCGGCTTCCCCTACATTTATGCCATCTTCATCCAAATCTTGCGCTCTTCCATGGATAAGAGCCATGTAATATGAATATGTGCAGCATGTTGTATTCATAGACTTCCATACTTTCTTTTTCTGTCAAATGTGTGTCGTTGACTGCGTAATTATCCACGATCAGTCTTCTCATTTTGATTCTCATGTTCAGGAAACTGATTTACATCACGTGACAGATTGCAAACACGTGTTTTTTTATGTTACCTTTTCCTTTCAAATTCATTCAATTTCATTTACTATTTCTTCTGAAAAGTAACATTAAATGTAAATGTTTATCCTACCTTAACTTCATTTATGTAGCCTTAATTTAATTATAAATATTATTGGGTTCCACCATTTATATATATTTTAGCTGTCCATATTTATCGCTGTTGGAATTATAACATATATTCATTGATAATTCTGTCCGAGTGGATAACTCTGTGTTGAATATCATGCCAGGTGGTGGAATGTTTCATCAGGATTCCATTCCCCCAGAACACTTTCCCAGCTGAAGGTTTCATCGCTTACATACTCGTGTTCAGTTTCCAGTTTTATAAAAAACAGCCGATCAGTAAGGCTAGGTCCCTATTATCATGTTTGTGTTCACGAATCCATTCCTATTTTCGTATTAGAAGTTTACACTGCTTTAGATCGGGCTGAGATTATATTTCCGTGTGCATAACCACCGGTCCTTGACAAGCCTTTCGACCTGGTTACACACCTGTGTGAACAATACAGGCATTCAAAGCAAAACAGGTTTCAAATATCACAACAAAGATTATGTTGTTAGGTGGTAGAATTCCGGGAAAAAGGAGTTACTGTACACAGAAGCCTGTCATATAGGTAGACTGTTGCTGGACAAACAACCTAACATGCTTCTGGCATAATCTGAATCGTACAACGGACTCTGATTCCTGCAGACATTTCTGTAGTTGAAGTTGACACTCCATGATAAGACTTAAATACTGTTAAAGCGGCGTTAAATCCAATTCACTTACTCACTATCAATGCATATAATTTCAAAGATATACTAAACGCCACGTCATTATACTTATCTCCACTATGTATGTTTTCAACAACCATATGAATCCCCGCCATGCGTCAAGTTGCGTATATATAACCGAACCTTGATATCTCGAACCCCGTTACCTTGAAAATATCGATATCTCGAACCTATTGTCCGGTCCCGATCGCCCCACGATAGAAAATCCATGTAGATTTAATAAATATGATTTACCTCCTGTTACTTTGTACTGGCGCGGTATTAACATAAGTCAGGTGACTTATTTACCAATCCAGGTTCATTTATTGAATAATACTATGTTTAAATCACATATGTTAGATGGTAACACCACGCAATAGTTCAGTTTAAAGCAGCGTTAGTCCCAACCCTCTTTATAACTGTAAAGTGTGCACCGGTGTGGTAGTTTAAGACAACCCGGTTTCAAAAAGGAAGGTATCTTATTCATGTGTACCAGCTATGTTTCATCAAAGAACTCTGCGCAACCGACTGTTTGAGCACGGCCTCTCTCTCGCTCGGTCACACACTGCATGTAACTATGTAGGCCAGCATGCACCAGGTGTCACTTCCTTGTCGCTTCACAATACGCAAGATATTTAAACACACAGCGTAATACACCAGTGGTCGTTTATATTGAGGTTTCGGGGTATTCGGGGTATTGATGTCTGTGTTCTCTGTAAATGAGAAGTGTCGGTGTAGCCTTGTGGTTAACAAATTCGCTCGTAACACCGACGAACATGGTTTGATTCACCACATGGTCGTGAACCGCATCTTCAACACATGAAGACCCGGGTTAGAATATATTTGTTTGTTTATTTGTTGTTTAACGCAGCAATATTCCCGCTATATGATGGCGGTCTGTAAACAATCGAGTCTGGACCATACAATTCAGGGATCGACATCATGAGCATCGATCCACGCAATTGGGATACTCTGACATGTATCAACCAAGTCAGCGAGCCTGACCACCCGATCCCGTTAGTCGCCTTTTACCACAAGCATAGTCGCCTTTTACGGCAAGCATGGATTCCTTAAGACCTATTCTAACCCGGATCTTCACGGGTCGGTCTATGTATGAGCGACGACATATGTGAATCTCTTGTCAACTGAAAGTTAACTCATTATCATCTCGTTCAGTTGCTGCTTTCGGTAGACCCTTGCACCCTTTATTGGTCAGGGTAACTGTACCTTTGCCTGAAAAAGTTTTATCTCAGAGTCACTTCCTTTTTAATACTACATCATGAAAATGTAACCAAAGCATAGTAACTCTCAATGGCAGAAAAAAGAAACCTTTTCTTCGAAGAAGCCAAATTCAAAACAAACGTCAAAATATTTTGTTAAGTTACTTTCTTCAGATAATTGATTGTTCTTATAAGTTCATGCTTTTGGAAGGTTTTGTATCATTTAATTGATGAATGATATTTTGTGGACGATTTTTGTCAGTTTCAGTAGTGAAATTGTTCTGTGTTTAGCAACTGCTCTTCTGATTCGTCGTCTCGTTTACAGCTCAAGAGTACTGGAAGAACATTCTTACAATTATGACTTCATTTCTCGGTGACTCTGCTTGATCTACTGTGTCACAGCCACGGGTGTCACTGGTCGTGAGTTACTTGCCGGCCTGTCTTTCTTCTTAAACATCAGGCGTCTTTTTAACTCTGAGCTCCCATTGTGTTAATTTTATTTCTTTTCACCATTTTCTCAAATCAGAACCCGGGACATAAAATGACATTCTCCTCTTTTCTTTTGCAAGATAGGACTCCAATTATCTTTCTTTCTTCCTTTCTGTTTTGTCTTTCCCCTTCTCTACATTGGTTTTACCCATTTCTGAAACGTACAATTTTTGTCCATGTAAATATTGATCTTTGTAACGTAGGATACCCCATAAAGGTAATGTACATAACCACAACAATAGTGATAACTGATTAGGGGGCAGTCGGGTAGCCTAGTGGTTAAAGCTTTCGCTAGTTACGCCGAAGACCCAGGTTAGATTCCCGACATTGGTACAATGTGTGAAGCCAATTTCTGGTGTCTCCCGCCGTGATATTGCTGGAACATTGCTAAAAGCGGCGTAAAACCGAACACGGTCCCTCTCTCACTGATAACTGATTAGCAATTGCAGGGAATGCTTTCATAATGTGCGTTCTACAGACAAAGTATGTCTAACTTTCAACTTATGAATAATACAAATAATAAAATCAATGTACAAATTTTATTAAAGAGTGAGATTTACTTTTAAAAGGTTCCTTTAGAAAGTTATGTTATATTTGCGAGAGAGAACACTAAAGTTTCTTAAACCACCCTTGATCGGAGTAAGACATCATTTTCAGCAAACCAATCGGGATTGGGTGATCAGGCTCGTTTACGTGGTTGATTGTATGTCATAGTTCGATGATCATATTGCCAGACTCAATTATTTAAAGACCCCCGTCATATAGATGCAATATTGCCGAGTGTGGCGTTAAATAACAAAAAGACGTTCCTTAAAGCAGAATTTCATTGATAAAAATGGTGTATTATTAAAAGTATTTGAAGAAGCGCCTGCCAGTAGGCTGGTAGATTTTATTTTGTGCCCGTTGTTACAAACTTGTATGGGTTTTTGTGTCCGGCAGTAAATTTGTGTGTCAATGTATTTATCACAATAAGCTGCTGTTTTTTAATTGGTTCTGAAGAGTTAAGTCAGGGCCCACAGCTTCTGAAATCTTTTTCTTATTTTAAACACTGATAATTTATCAATTAATCGTTACAAGTGACTGTTTACAAGTGACGAAGAATTGACACATTCTACATTCAGGAAAACGTAAAAATCAAGGTCTTCATTTGTGAAAATGTCCGTTACTAATGGTAACCATGTATAAACTCTAATCAAGAAAAGCAAGAGTCATGCTCACCCATTCTTGTCAAATGCAATTATTCAGACGTTTTCTCGACTTTTGGGGAAGTATCATAAAACTAATTAAGAAAGGAGAGAAATAGTCTCAATATCTTTTTTTTGGTGTAATATGTAACTTATGCATGCAACTTCAAATGAAGTCATATACACAGGTGACGTACATCACAGTCTTATCAATTCTTCATTCTCAAATCACCTACTACGGCGGAAGAGCATATATTTATAACAATTACAACACAACTAATAACATGAGCACAATGGCGGTTACGGTCTACATTTAGTTCCAACAGTCATATATTTGCAAATTATTTGGACAGGGTTTTTTTGTAAAAGAGAAACATTTAAGAAAAAGATGTGATATATTTAGATATTTAATTCAGAAATGTTTACATTTGAGTTTATATTGGAATTCGTCAGCAATCACTGAGGATAACGTTGAGAAAAATAATTTCTCTACTTGATGGTTTTCTACGGAATATATATCATATAACTGTTTGTTAAAGATGGAAAATGGAAGGTCCTTGTTAGGTAATACTGTAAAACGGAAAACATCAAGGCACGACAAACGACATATGGACTGTTAACAAATAGTACATACATTTTATATGAATGAATATACGTTCTCTACTTGATGGTTTTCTACGGAATATATATCATATAACTGTTTGTTAAAGATGGAAAATGAAAGGTCCTTGTTACGTAATACTGTAATATGGAAAAACGATGACATGCAAACATCAGGCACGACAAACGATATATGCACCGTGTCAGTTTTTCAGGAAGACAAATCAAATAATAGAATGTATCCAGTGTAACGTTATTTGTGGCAGAACTGTTAGAGTGCGTGCACATCTAGGTGGGAATTTTAAAAAACGACAGCAAGGTACATCAAATCTAGCAATATAATACATCTGTGTTTAAACTACCGGCAAAAAGAAAGCTTTCACTTTAGAAGTAATTGAATAAAAAGCAAAAAGCTGGTACAGGTTTGAACCCCCGCAGAAAACATTCGCCCAAATGCAACATGACCACAACCACAACGCAGATTTTCGAACGCAGCTTTCCAAATCATGCATTGTTGAAAACGTACAAAACCTGATTTTGAGACATTGGTCCAAATGCACGTGCATGATTATGGCATAAATACCGACGTTGGACAGAGCAGGCATTCAGTAAGCAAAAAAACGCCAAGAATATGCCCAGACTTACACAGAGCGATCGGTATGGCCAATATTGGGGCTACTCAACGTCGGATAGCCAGAACCTTTAACTGCTCCAAGACCACCATCAGCAAGTTGATATTCCGCTACCAACAGACAGGACAGACTCAAGACCGGCCATGATCGGGAAGACCAAGAGTGACAACACCAGCCGACGACCGCTACATCCGGCAGATTCACCTCCGAAACATTATGTGTAACGGCGACGTCAACGGCGGCAACAGCACTAGGGCATGCCATCAGTAGACGAACAGTCCTTCGACGACTTCATACGGCTGGTATACGAGCCTACCGACCCTTCCGTGGAATGGCCTTGACCCGTCTACACCGTCAACGCAGACTGCAATGGTCACGAACTGTACGTCGGTGGCAGCGACGTGACTTTGGCGAGAGTGCTCTTTACAGATGATAGTCGGTTCTGTCTGTTCAGGTTCAACGGCAGAGTTTGAGTTTTTCGACGAAGGGGAGAGCGACTGGCGCCAAACTGCATTAGAGAAGTTCACCCGTTTGGAGGTGGAGGCGTCATGGTATGGGGTGGTATTTGTGGCCAGATTACAACACTGCTGGTTATCATCCGAGGAAACCTGAATGCTGAGCGATACAGGGATTAAGTGTTGAGACCTGTTGTGGTGCCCTTTATTCAACATCAGCCAAGAGGATTAATTTTGCAACAAGACAACGCAAGGCCTCACACCGCCCGAATTGTTCAAAACTACCTGAACAACGTTAACGTCAACGTATTGCCTTGGCCACCTTGTTCTCCAGACATGAACCCCATTGAACATCTCTGGGATCATCTTGATCGTCAGCTGAGACAACATGTACCGCCTCCAGCGAACCGACAGGAACTTGAACAGACTCTATTGAACTTATGGAACAGATTTCCTGTTGACGTTATCCGCCGACTGACGACGTAAATGAGGAGGCGTGTGTTGGCGTGCATGGATGCCCAGGGTGGTCACACTCGCTATTGATGACGTGTTACCTGACTACTGTGTCATTAATGGACTCTTCATGCACTTTTTAAATGAACTCTGATTTGTGTAATTTTTAATTTGGACCCCTTGACTCTTTCTTTGTGTATTGCGGAGAATGCAATATCAGCATTACAATGCATTTTCATTCAAATTCATGGAAAAGGATTTCTGTATATAAATTAATCATCATAAATCTCACATATGCCTTTGTTTTAGGTGTTTGGTCAAGTGAAGTCGGTGAAAACTTTCTTTTGCCCGGTAGTTTAGTAAAGAATAAACGTCATATGAGTATGTAATTGATGTGATCCCACATTTAATGCACACTACACCCTGAAATTACCAAGGTCTGCGTACAGCATACAGCAAAAATGCAACGATTCATTGAGAATCATTCGTGACCAAATCGTCACATTTCGGGAATGTAGAATCAAGTCCCTCTCGACAGCTTCGATATTGGCGTACTAAAACGTACACGAACTTCTTCAAACTTGCTTGAAACAATTATAAAAGGAGTTTGTATCATATGACTGAATCTATCCTTTCTAGACAGCGTTGACAAATAGTATATATATTTTATATGAATTAATTACAATACAATTGCCATATCCGCCATGTCTAGAGATGTATAGAAATAATTCTAAATATACTGAGTCAAATTAAAAACTTCACATTTTTAAAAGTAATCCCATATATGATATACAACGGACAAATGTATCAGAAAGGTAATTTGTAATCATTAATGTCCAAAGAAGGATTTTAATTAACGGTGGTAACCATAATTTGTTCCAAGCACCTACGGTATTTGGTAATAACATCAACAAATTAAATCATAAGTCCCAAGCACAAGAATCTGATGGCACACAAGTTCAGTAGCGTGTATGGCCACCATGTGCGTTGACAACTGCCACACAACGCCTCCGCATGGACCTTGTGATGCTTGTGAACACATGATTGGGAAGACGACGCCATTGTTGCTGCAAAATGGTGCCAAGATCTTGCAAATTCTGTGGTTGATTATGGAGAGTGCGCAGACTTCTGCCAAGAGCATCCCAGACGTGTTCGATGGGATTGAGGTCGGTAGACCTTGACGGCCAGTCCATGACGTTGACTCCCGCATCCCGAAATTCCTTGTCAAATTTGCTGTGTGGGGTCCGGCATTGTCGTGTTGGAAGATCAAACCGGGTCCATGTGCTGCCATAAAAGGCAGAAGTTCTGGTGCCAGTACCTAGTCGCGGTAAGCTGCAGCGTTGAGGTTGCCACGGATGACAAGAAGCCAGGAAAGTGCATTATCACAGAAAGCACCCAACACCATGACACTTCCGCCTCGAAATCTGTCAACTTCCTGTACACAACACTGGACGTAACGTTCATGACGGCGCCTCCACACCCTCGCCCTACCATCAGCAAATCGAAGATTAAATCGGGATTCATCACTGAAGACGACTTGATTCCAATTCCTCTGAGTCCATACTAAGTGTTGCTGTGCCCACAATTGACGTTGACGTCTGTGTAATTGAGTCAGAATCGGCCCGCAGTATGGCCGTCGTGCGTGAAGGTGAGCAGTTCTCAGACGGTTTCGAACAGTTTGCGCACTCAGTCTACCCCTAAACAGTTCATTTCTGGTTGATGTAGCCGTCAAAAATCGGTTACGGAGGTGACGTAAGACAATCTGACGATCCTCTGCATGTGTCGTCACACGTGGTCGACATGGCCGAGGGCGACCAGCGGTGGTACCCGTTTGCTGTAGACGCGTCTGTAAATCATAAACAGTCCGTCGACTACAACCAATCGTCCTTGCGACTTCAGCTACGGACGTTCCCGCCTGCAACATGCCGATGGCACGTTCACGTTGCACATTTGAAAGGCGTGGCATGATAAATGGCTGTACAAAAATTGTTTTCTTGTGTTTTTCTTTTTTTGTTAATGACTGCTATTCAAAAAAGATGTTAAGAGACATTTTCGGGCTGTTAGACCGAAAACGTCTTGCCACAGACTGCTGACTTGCCTGGCCAAGTCTCGATTATGTACGAGCAGCCGTCATTTAGATGGAATTATGCTCAGTGTGGTGTTAAATAACAAACAAGCTTTAATGTACCCAGCATGTTCAAATTAATGTGTTAAGAAAAAAGGAACAATTACAGTCTTATTAACTAATGTAAAGACACGTAGCTGAGTACAAAGTAGCATCTTCCCATAAAAGTCCAATTTAAACCTTGCCCAACTAGGCTGGAATTGTGGAGTTATATTTTGCCTGGACTAACAACTCCATGCACAGTTCAGTCAAAATCGCTTCATAAACAACATGGCTAGCTGGTATACATTAACTTTATACCCCAAAGCAATGTCTGAGAAAAAGAAATATTTATAGATTGTATTTCTTAATACAAGTTTTCATTTGATACAGGTGTCTGACACGCAATATTATAGGCTTGTGCCGTTTCGACGTATGGCTGCTTTCGAGGAGGGGACGAGCCTTGATGTAGGTAAGGGAAACATGCGAGTGGTGACAAATGATTGAGAATAAGTAATAAGACTAATGTGAATACAGTCTTCCAGGTGTTAGATATTTAATGAAACAGAAATGTGGGATCCTCAGTTGACTGGTCTCTAAGTGTATCTTTGGAAGAATGATGCTCTCCATATGCTATGTAAAACACCTTTTGAACTTTACTACATACAAAGCAACAGTCAAATCGGATTAGCATTGTCACATTAACCACATAAATGAAGTAGTCATTACCTAAACAGGTCTTCCTCAATGCAGTGGACAAAGATGTTGGCTCTCATTACGGCACGGGTTTATTTCCATGGATTCATATAACTGAAAACGGCTCGTCTCTTTGTAACTGTAACAAACTCTTGGTACGTGTCATTTGTCTTCTCCGAGAGAGATACACATCAATTCTAAATGTTTTCCTATCATAAGTGTATGCCACCATGTCACGCACTCAAGCAAGTTTCCGTGTGCGATATTACAGTTTCTTATATTTGCTATGCCCCCGAAAGAAGAAACCGTTTGGATAACAAAAATAATCTGAATTTACTTGGCATCAACTGAAATAAGATGTGGAAAGATGTATGTTTTCTTCCCGTTGTGTCATCGATTAACGCCATATAGTATTACAGGACAAACAGACAGCATGCTTGGGGTCTTAGGCGTCGCAATTCGCTTTGAAGAGTTGCGCCTCTTAGGCGTTCAAGGATCCTAAGATCATGGGCAAGTGTTTTGTCAGCACCATACCGTACCCATGGTAAACTCACTCTCTCTCACACACTCTCTCTAACACACACTCTCTTTCTCTCACTCTCTCACACACTCTCTCTCACACTCTCTCGCATTCTCTCTCACACTATCTCTCTCACTCTCTCTCTCACTCCCTTTCTCTCACTCTCTCTCACCCTCTCTCAAAGACTCTCTCTCACTCTCTCTAATACTCTCTCTCTCACTCTCTCTATGACACATTCTCTCTCACAATCTCTCGCACTCTCTCTCACGCACGCTCTCTCTCTCTCTCACACTCTCTCACATTCTCTCTCACTTTCTCTCTAACACTCTCTCTCACTCTCTCTCCCACACACACGCACTCTCACTCTCTCTCTCTCTCTCACACACACACACACGCACACACTCTCTCTAACTCACTCTCTCTCCAAGGTGTGTGACACCCTGATATCAGCACACTGCTATGTACAAGTGTTAGATGAACAGCGACACAGGGTATGTTCGTGTGTGCAATGGCCTGTGAAAGAATCTATTTTAATGTGGTTTTAGTCAATGGGAAACACTTTGCGAGAAGTATTTGTATTCAGAGAGTTGGACATGTTTAGGCATTTTGAGCCGCATGAAAGGAACAGGTTTGTGGTACATTACATCTTCAGGAGAAGTGGCTATTCCCGAGGAAAGCATGACTCATTCGTCACGTCGATCCACAGTGATACGCAGGGAATTTAGTGAGTTTTATACCTCCTGTCACCTACACTGAATTGCCATTGTAAAGTTCACAAAATGGCCGCCGTATGAATTGCTATGAATATCAAAGAGAAAACACACGCAACTTACAGGGAGACAAAGTTTGCAACTGAGTAAATCAGACAGATAAACATGAATAATTGGTGTAACACTTTACAGTGTAATGCCACTGTTATCGTCAGTGTTATCTGAGACGCCCTGTTTATGTATCGGAACTATGATACCAACTGACCGGGGAAACTAGCCATGTTCCAATATAAGTGCGAAGTACATATTTTGGTAACAATAAATCTGCAGACTCTTTAAACTATTCAGGTGATATGTTTTCAGTTCAAAGTGATTTATTACATTTAGGGTGTTGAATGCTAACAAGAAATTCGCCTTTTGTGTAAGTGAGCTGAAATGGGTTTGAAGTTTTTACATTTTGTCCGATCAAATAGACTAGCAGACAGGAATCTCTGTGTAACGCCTCTGGGTGGATACATCGGATTTAGATTACTTTCACACCTGAAATGAAAACATCATGTAAAGGATATTATATAAAGTAAAAATGGAAAGTTAGAAGTTTAATTGATGATACTTTGCCATTAAATGTACAAAATATATTAATGCATTTCATTTCTACAAACAAATTTTGATTTTGATAACAATTTTGCTTTTAGGAATAAGCATGAAAATTATGCAATGTGAAACGTTTACCTATCTTTCCAAAGAGACACCGATTCGTTCGTTCATCGGGAAAAGCCAAGTAAACTAATGAGTCAGTTGCCATTCATCTCCTTCAACATTCATCTCCTCGGCAATGTTGTATTCGTAGGTCAACCCCGTCAAGTAGCGCGATCGTGTTCAAAGCATGACAGTATTGAAGTCAGTTGAAATGTTTGCTGGTACGATCCAAACATTCCATCGTGTTGTATAATTCCAAATCACTGTCACTGCCCCATGTACTGATGTGAGAAGTCGACTCTCTATATACATGTGTACATTGTATAATTCCCAATCACTGCCCCCTGTACTGATGTGACAAGTCGTCGACCCTCTACAGGAGTGCATTGTATAATTGCAAGTCACTGCCCCCTCTACTGATGTGACAAGTCGACTCTCTATATACATGTGTACATTGTATTATTCCCAATAACCGGCCCCTGTACTGATGTCACAAGTCGACTCTCTATTTACATGTGTACATTGTATAATTCCCAATCACTGCCACATGTACTGATGTGACAAGTCGACTCTCTACCTACATGTGTACATTGTATAATTCCCAGTCACCGCCCACTGTACTGATGTGACAAGTCGACTCTCTATATACATGTGTACATTGTATAATTCCCAATCACTGCCCCCTGTACTGATGTGACAAGTCGACTCTCTATATACATGTGTACATTGCATAAATCCAATCACCGCCCCCTGTACTGATGTGACAAGTCGACCCTCTACAGGAGTGCATTGTATAATTCCAAGTCACTGCCCCCTGTACTGATGTGACAAGTCGACTCTCTATATACATGTGTACATTGTATAATTCCCAATCACTGCCCCCTGTACTGATGTGACAAGTCGACTCTCTATATACATGTGTACATTGCATTAATCCAATCACCGCCCCCTCTACTGATGTGACAAGTCGACCCTCTACAGGAGTGCATTGTATAATTCCAAGTCACTGCCCCCTGTACTGATGTGTCAAGTCGACTCTCTACAGGAGTGCATTGTATAATTCCCAGTCACTGCCCCCTGTACTGATGTGACAAGTCGACTCTCTATATACATGTGTACATTGTATAATTCCCAATCACTGCCCCCTGTACTGATGTGACAAGTCGACTCTCTATATACATGTGTACATTGTATAATTCCCAATCACTGCCCCCTGTACTGATGTGACAAGTCGACTCTCTATATACATGTGTACATTGTATAATTCCCAGTCACTGCCCCCTGTACTGATGTGACAAGTCGTCGACCCTCTACAGGAGTGCATTGTATAATTGCAAGTCACTGCCCCCTCTACTGATGTGACAAGTCGACTCTCTTTATACATGTGTACATTGTATTATTCCCAATCACCGGCCCCTGTACTGATGTGACAAGTCGACTCTCTATTTACATGTGTACATTGTATCATTCCCAATCACTGCCACCTGTACTGATGTGACAAATCGACTCTCTACATAAATGTGTACATTGTATAATTCCCAGTCACCGCCCACTGTACTGATGTGACAAGTCGACTCTCTATATACATGTGTACATTGTATAATTCCCAATCACTGCCCCCTGTACTGATGTGACAAGTCGAATCTCTATATACATGTGTACATTGTATAAATCCAATCACCGCCCCCTGTACTGATGTGACAAGTCGACCCTCTACAGGAGTGCATTGTATAATTCCAAGTCACTGCCCCCTGTACTGATGTGACAAGTCGACTCTCTATATACATGTGTACATTGTATAATTCCCAATCACTGCCCCCTGTACTGATGTGTCAAGTCGACTCTCTACAGGAGTGCATTGTATAATTCCCAGTCACTGCCCCCTGTACTGATGTGACAAGTCGACTCTCTGTATACATGTGTACATTGTATAATTCCCAATCACTGCCCCCTGTACTGATGTGACAAGTCGACTCTCTATATACACGTGTACATTGTATAATTCCCAATCACTGCCCCCTGTACTGATGTGACAAGTTGACTCTCTATATACATGTGTACATTGTATAATTCCAAGTCACTGCCCCCTGTACTGATGTGACAAGTCGACTCTCCATTTACATGTGTACATTGTATAATTCCGAATTACAGCCTCCTGTACTGATGTGACAAGTCGACTCTCTATATACATGTGTACATTGTATAATTCCCAGTCACTGCCCCCTGTACTGATGTGACAAGTCGACTCTCTATTTACATGTGTACATTGTATAATTCCGAATTACAGCCTCCTGTACTGATGTGACAAGTCGACTCTCTATATACATGTGTACATTGTATTATTCCCAATCACCGCCCCATGTACTGATGTGACAAGTCGACCCTCTACAGGAGGGCATTGTATAATTCCCAGTCACTGCCCCATGTACTGAAATGACAAGTCGACTCTCTATTTACATGTGTACATTGTATAATTCCCAATCACCGCCCCCTGTACTGATGTGACAAGTCGACCCTCTACAGGAGTGCATTGTATAATTCCCAGTCACTGCCCCATGTACTGATGTGACAAGTCGACTCTCTATATACATGTGTACATTGTATAATTTCCAGTCACTGACCCCTGTACTGATGTGACAAGTCGACCCTCTACAGGAGTACATTGTATAATTCCCAGTCACTGCCCCCTGTACTGATGTGACAAGTCGACTCTCTGTATACATGTGTACATTGTATAATTCCCAATCACTGCCCCCTGTACTGATGTGACAAGTCGACTCTCTATATACATGTGTACATTGTATAATTCCCAATCACTGCCCCCTGTACTGATGTGACAAGTCGACT